GAAAAGTGACTTTAGCCAAACAATCTCGCTACATGCAGAAGACATAGCTCTATACTCGGCTTCAGTGGAAGACTTAGAGACAGTTTGCTGTTTCTTGCACTTCCAATAGATGAGAGAGTCACCTATGAAGACACACCACCCAGTAGTGGATCGGCGAGTGTCAGGGCAACCAGTCCAATCAGCATCAACATAAACCCTCAACTGTATGGATGATGAGGAAGAGAGAAACAGTCCYCGAGAGGTTGTCTCGAACATAACGGTTGATCCAGCGAACTGCAGTCATGTGAGGTTGTCTTGGGGCAGAGACAAATTGACTAACGACCTGAATAGCATGTGAGATATCAGACCTGGTCATAAAAGATAGATCAAAGAGCCAACAAGCTGATGGTACAGGGTGGCATCAGGAAGGATGAGGCCTTTGGATTTGGATAGCTTGACATTCAGCTCCAGGGGGGTATCAACATGTTTCTCATCAGTGATTCCAGATAGTTTGATGAGATCAGAGGCGTATTTTTGTTGACAAATAAAATACCCTCGACTGCTACGATGAACCTCCAAACCCAAGAAGTAAATGAGAGGACCCAGGTCCTTCATATGAAATGAGTTATGAAGTAAGGACTTCAGCTCACAAATGCCATCATAGTCATCCCCCGTTAGGAGCATGTCATCAACATATAATAGAAGAATAGTAATACCCTGGGGTCTTCTCTTAACAAAGAGGGAGTAGTCAGAGGAACTCTGATTATACCAGCTGCAACAAAAACATCTTGGAAGCGCTCAAACCAAGCCCTAGGTGCTTGCTTCAGGCCATATAAAGACTTCTTTAGGTGACAGACACGTGAAGGATCATTGCAATATCTAGGTGGAGGTTTCATGTAGATTGTCTCCTTTAATTCGCCATGAACACATTCTTCACATCGAATTGATAAATAGTCTAGGAATAAACAACAGAAATGGCCATAAGAGTCCAAACTGTGGTGATCTTAGGGACCGGGGCAAATGTTTCTTCATAATCAATCCCATATCCTGACTGTATCCTTGGGCAACTAACCGGGCCTTATATCAATCAAGAGAGCCATCCATAGCTTCTTTCCACTGAGGACTTCTAATGGGTTGCTGAAAAGATCTAGGGATATCTGTGGAAGAAAATACAACAGAAAAGGAACTATGGTTTGAAGGAAAACCATAGCGGTTAGGAGGTCTAGAGATACGGGTAGAACGGCGAAGTGGAATAACTGAACTACTATCTGAAATAGGAGGATCTTGGGTCAAGGTATCACTTATAGAGGATATCTGAGATGAATGCTCTGGATCGGGTAGAAGGGGGGTTGTAGGTGCAGGAGCCGGGACACGTAGCCGCTTGTGGGTGAAGACAAGAAGACCTCTCTTGGTTGAGGAAGTAGTAGTGGAAGGAGCAGACAATCTAGCAACCCCAACAAAGAAGGAGATATGTTCAAGAAACACAACATTGCGAGAAATCCGAATACAGATGATGGAAGACTGAGCAGTTAATTTAGATCGTCCACGAACAAGAAGATGGACAAAACAAAGACATCCAAAAACATGAAGGCTAGAGAAATCTGGGGGATAACCAAAAAGTTTTTGGAAGGGAGAGGTGTTGCCTAGAACACTGAAAATGTGGAGTTTCTGGGAATGTGTTTTGCTTCTACCCAAAACGAAGTTGGAGTATGAGACTCCTATAGTAATGTCCGCACAACACTGAGAATGTGTTTGTTCTTCCGTTCTTCTACACCATTCTGTTGTGGAGTTTCTGGGCAGCTGCGCTGAGACTGAATTCCATGACTCCTCAAATATGCCAGGAAGTCTCCATCTCTATATTCTCCCCCTGAATCTGAGCGGAGGATAGTCACTGCACTTGAGTCGATTTTGCACCATAGTATGAAACGATTTAAATGCACCAAAGACTTCTGATTTGTGTCGTAGAAAATAAATCCAAGTATATCTAGTACTATCATCTATAAATAATACGGAATATCTGTACCCCAATCGTGAAGTAATAGAAGCTGACCAAACATCACTATGTATTATCTCAAAAGGTTTAGTGGCATGTTCAGATTTATGAAGAAATGGTAAAACATGACTTTTACTCAAACAACACGTAGTGCAAGAAACATCAAAAGTATCAACAGGGGGAATTTTATTCTTAATCAAACCAGAGTCAAACAAAAGTTTTAATTTTTGGGAATATGGATGACCCAATCGTTTATGCCATAAATCCCAAATATTATTTCTATAAGTCAACATAGAATCAGACAAAGAAGAACTAAGTAAAGTTGAGGATGCCCCCAGTTGAGACTTATCGAACTCCAGTGCAAATAGACGGCCTAGCCTACGCCCCTTCCCTTTCACCTTCCTAGTGTACCGGTCCTGAATCAAGCAACCATCATGAGAAAAAGTGAGAACATTTCCTTCATCAACAAGTTGACCAACAAAATTAAGATTAGTAGTAAGGTTGGGTACTAAGAGGGTTTTGGAAAGAGGAAAGGATCTAGTTGGTGACAGTTGACGAGACAGATCATCACTTCCAATGATGTCTAACTTTTCACCATTAGCAGTAATAATATGTTTATGGTGAGTTTTAGTGGAAGGGATTGGGTGGTTGAGGTAGGCTCCTGTCATATGGTTGGTGGCACCTGAATCTATAATCCAAGCATGTGAAGGGGAAGAACATTATGCAGAGAACTTACCAGACAAGTCAATAGCAGAGAAAGCAGAAGAAATAGCAGAAGATACCAGTTGCCGAACCCTTTCTTCATCCATGACACTTGTTGATTCACCTTTCATTGAGGACTCACCCTTGGTAGATACAGTGTCTGTTGCTGGTCTATCTGTTGCCTGATAGGCCCGGTGCTGAGTCTTTTTCTAAGAGCCCTTAGCTGGTCGGACTGGACAGTCTCGAATGATGTGATTATGTTGCTTGCAATAGGTACACACATTCTTCTTCTTACAATGAGATGCTATATGTCCAAAACCCTTACACTCATAGCACTGGGTTTTGGAGAGGTCTTTGGAGGTTGGCTTCTTACCCCCATGAGCAACAAAGGCCATTTCAGCCCCAACTTCAGCCATCTTCCCATCAAACCCGGCTGCAGTGAGAAGTCTAGTCTCTTTTCTCAGAAGTTCCCCTAAAACAGAATCCATATCTGGAAGTGTTCCCCTACTTAGAATGTTGGACCTGATTATCTCGTATTCAGGTTTGAGTCTCATCAAGAACTGAGTCACCTTTCTCTTCTCAAAGTGCTTCTGAAGATATTTTACACACTCCACTGGATCTGAGGGTTCAATGTTAACAATCTCATATTCAGCCCATAAATCAAGAAAACCAGAATAATACTCCTGTATCCTCCTATCTCCTTGGCTGTAAGAGAATATTTCTGATTCTATCTGATATTGCTTAGATACATTGGATTGTTGATAAACCTTTTCTAGGTACATATACATCTCATGTGCTGTTTTCATTCTCCTCGTGGGAACAGATATATGATAGTCAATAGAACTCAGAATCCAAGAAACAAGTTTACCATTGTCCAACTTCCGTTGTTGTAAAGCTTTGGCCTCGGTCTCAGCTGGTTTGGTGACTGTTCCATTCAGATATCCTTCTAAACCCTTTCCCTCAACATAAAAGTCAAAGTGAAACTTCCACATCCCATAGTTCTGTTCATTCATCTTTATAGGGATGATATCACCTCTATCTAAAGCCATTTCAGCAAGAAAAAAGCACAAATAGGGTTTGACTGAAGTTTAAAGAAATTAATCTGAAGCAAAACTTGATCCAAAGACGAGAAATAGGCTGTAATCAATCCAAGAGAGTAAAAAAACTGAGATAGAAACCCCTTACTTTCACCGGAGATTGTTCAAGATCCAAAATGAAGAGAGGCTGAACACACAGTCCAGAAAAGGAAAGTCTGGGTGCAGCGGCCAAGAAGAAGAGTCCAGATCTCTCTCAAAATTTCACGGATCTCCATGAAAATTTTAGAATCTGTTGAGAAGGGTTGGGCGACAACTCCTTTCAATTCTTGCTGCAAACGGAGATCAAACGAGAGAGATCCAATAAAATCTCTCTCTTTGGGTGTGGAGAAAACAGAAGAGGAGTTCCTGGATAGATCAAAACAGTCCACGGCCACTTGACAGAAATGTAGGTTTTCAATAGATCACGAGGGCAAGACGGATCAGAGAGAAGGAAGATCAAAGAGCAACCTGCTCTGATACCATGTGAACTGAATTCAGATCTAGGAGAAAACAGATATAGGGGTGTCCAGAATAGTCGACCCCCACCCCAAAGAGCCTCTTTTATATTAAAGAGATAAAAAGTATGTACGGTTACAAGAATGCCCTTACAGGGCTGAAAGATAAAAAGAACAAATAAAATAATAAGAACTATGATACTGTACAACAAGGACTACTCTAATAATGTACATCAAGATATATCTTCACAATGTGATTGATCCACATGGAAGAATTTGCCTTTTTCTGTTTTATGGTAAAGAAATTGGAGATTAAATTTTCTAAGCAACCGATACAGTTTTTCTTGTTCATATTTTTGAAAGGTACTTTTCCGCCCCATTCATTTTTAGCCTTTTAGGTAAATCACTTATGCCGTTAGTGTTTCCCAAGTAATGCTTTTAGGTAAATCACTTATGCCGTTAGTGTTTCCCAAGTAATGCTTTTAGGTAAATCACTTATGCCGTTAGTGTTTCCCAAGTAATGCTTTTAGGTAAATCACTTGTGCCGTTAGTGTTTCCCAAGTAATGCTTTTATCTTTTTGTCTTTACATTTTAGCACTTGTTTAATGAGCATTTTTGTTTCATTAAATTTTAGAATCTTTTCCCTCTAGGTGGGAAAGCAACTTACCCACTTGGGATAATCTTGACAAGATAAGGTCATTGATCTATGACTCACAGTCATTGAATTGCAACTTCTGATTTATTTAATCTACACTGAAGGTAAATTCTAATCGCTGTGCATGTCTTGTATGATAGTTAAAACCAGCCCTAGTGTCACTGATGCAGCCATGACACGACTTGCTCAAGGGACGAAGGTTCTTTCAGAAGGGGGACGTGATAAAGTTTTTCACCAGATGTTTGGGATTTTGCCTGATGAGAAAGTCCTTAAGGCATATTCTTGTTATCTTTCAACTTCCTCAGGACCTGTGATTGGAACACTCTATATATCCACAAAAAGAGTCGCCTTCTGCAGTGACAGTCCTCTTTGTCATTATACTGCTTCAGGACAGGAATGGATGTATTACAAGGTATTCTTTTTTGTCCATGCAATTACAATCTGTTTATCATAGAATCCTTTTTCATATTTTATCTTTCATCATCATTACAAAGTTCTATAGTTAATCAATTAGATTCTTCCCTTTATATTCTAAGCTATTTCTGAAAATGGAAGGATTAGGTGGCCAATCTGAACCAGACATTGGCTGAGGATTTTGGATACAGAATGTGTTTAATCCCCTCCCCATGTTGGCCATATAGCACACATTGTATTCAATGTTTACAAATAGAGTTATGCTTCTAGAATTATTATTATTATTGTTGTTGTTGTTGTTGCTATTAAATCAAAACCTTCATACATAAAAGAGATTATTTCAGATATGTGGCTAAAACATTCAATTGAGCTTATTTCAGTGATGTCTGGACATCACTTGCTAATTCTCGGCTTGGAAAGAAGTGTACTTGAATATGTTTTCTTAGATAGAAGATGGAAGTGTTTCCAACATTCAAGTTGTTTCATGCAATGGTCTGAGTTTGCTTCAGATCACTAGTATTCTCCACTCGAATTTAGGGGGAGAATTCCTTGATGGGGAACAATGGAATAGAATCTCAACAAAGATGTCCAAGTATACCTCAATAGAATAGAGTTGCAGTGCTAGAATGACCATATTATGAGCATCATGTGGACCATGTTACAGGATTTTCATGCTCCGGCTTCTTTTTCGGTAGAGACTGCTAGTATAGCTATGTTTTTGATCAATCTCCTTTCCCCTAGTGTTCTTAACAATGTTTCTCTCTTTCAAAAATTGTTTGGTTATCTTCCTGGTTTCTCTAATACTCATGTCTTTGGTTGTCCTTAATTTGTTCATCTCCCCCACTTGAATGTACTACTCTGTTGGCTCAATCTGCTTTGTGCACTTTTGTGGGATATAGTCATGATCATGGGGGATTCTTGTGCTATGATCCTGCTCATCACATACATATTTCCCTTAGTGCTGTATTTCTTGAGCATATTTCTTTCTTTGTTAGTATTGCTTAGTTGACTACTTTTGTTTCTATTTGTAGAGTTTTAATTCATAGGATACCTCTGATTCTCCTGCCAAGGGGGATTTGCTTGTTTATCAACGTAAAAGGTTACATGCTATAGCACCTACCCTCCTTCCAACTCTAGAATTTGATCACAACCTTCTCCTATGTTTGTATGTGATACTCTTCTTCTCGATATTTCTAGTTCTCACCTCTTCTGTTCCTTTGCGCTATTCTACTTGTATTTTTCATCCCTAGAGTGCTATGGTTTTCCTTTAAACCATTACTTCTTTTCTGTTGTTCTTTGCTCAACATATAACTCTTGTTCTTCTTATAGGCAAGCTATTCAGACCATATTGGAAATAAGCCATGGATGTAGAGATCAATGTTGTTAAAATTGTACGATTTGCAATTCAAATCCTATTATTTTAATGCAAGAATTGGTGCTCTGACCATTTTTTTTCTATCTGTTTTTATTTTACACAAAAAGACACCTCAACCCTATTATTTTCCATTCTTCTTTAGATGCCAAAAATAGGGGCTCAATTAGGGGCGTCAATGGTATTCGAAAATCCGATTTTGAATTCGAGATTCGACATAATCAAATTGAATTCAAATATCTAATTGGTCAAATTTGGATATCCTATTTATACCGAATAGCTAGGTGGATTCGAATTGGGATATGATTTGATTGGATTCAATAAATATATCTGAATTTGACCGATTATTTAATTTTTTATATATAATATATAAAATATTTAAATTTTTTATATAATTTATATAAATAAAATATTTATTTTATATATTTATTAATTCCTAAAATAATTAATTGGTCAATTTTGAATCGAATATTTGGATATTTAATCGAATTAGAAAATTAATTTTCAATATTCGTCAGATATCAAATCGAATTCAGATATTGTCTGATTCAATTTGAATTCGATTTGTTTAACCCCTAGGTTCCATCCTTCGTTTCCCTCTATACTTTTTTTTTTCAAAAAAAAACCTCTCGTTTTTGATGTAAATACCATTTTTCTCCATTGTTTTTAACACAAAAATCAAGGGCTCCACCCAACTAGTTTCTCCCTTCTTGTTTTGATGCAAAATGTAGGTTTTCCTCGTTTTTTTGACACAAAAACAAGGCTCAATCCTACTATTTCCCCTCATTTTTAATGTAAAATAAGGTATCTTTCCCATTTTTTCATTGTTTTTGATACAAAAGTAGGGGCTTTGTGCTCATATTTACCTCATCTTATTCTCTTGATGCAAATCAGACCCTCCCCATTTTTTCCATTGTTATTGACAAAACAAGGGCTATGCTCTATCACTTTCCTATGTTTTATGTAAGACGCATTTTTTTTCCTTTCATTTAGTGTCTATTTGCACACTTGAATACAGGGACTTTGCCCCAATTTCTTTTTTACCTTCATTTTCCTTGTTTTTGTATTCTTTTTTTCCATGAAAACAAGACACCTAATGTGTATTTAAATTTTAGACTTGAAAATATAATTTCTTTAGATTTTAAAATTAAAATGTGTACTTGAATCATGATATCTTAGTTTAGACTTCAAAACTTAATTTCTTTAATTGCATATAATGTTTATTTGTAATGTCTCACTATTGTACTGAAATGTGTAGCCTGTTATTTTTCATGCTAGGATCTTATGTGTAGTATCTATGTGTAGTCTCTATGCAACCTAGTAGTCTCTTATTTTAATATTTTTTATGATGCATGTATGATTTTAACAATTGAAGCAATAGAAACTAGAGAACATTGTGGTTGTTTTTCCTTTAAAAATCTTGTGGATAAGGATAACCAAAGAAAAATGGTCCTTAATTATACCATAGGATCAATTGAATTATGACTATTGCTATGGTACTAAAGTAGTGTAATTATCACTTATATTACCTACTTATTGTGTCTATAAGTTGAAAGTCGGTGCAAAATCATTTTTCTTATATTTTTGTTATGCTTAAATATTTTTTATAGGTTTTTGACAAATTTTCAGAAATTCAGAAAAAAAATCTTACCATTAGTGTTTAGAAAATTGGACCAGAGTGGTCGGTCAGACCGGTTGAACCACGACCCGTGGCACTGATTGGTTCGGTCACACCCCAATAACTGGAAACTGGTGAACTGGTGCCGATTTCATGAAACTTCTTGGGCCATTAAATACTTGAAATTTTAAAATGAGTTTAAGAAGACTTGAACCCATGACCTCTTATTTTTATATATTACTTAATTACCATTACTTTATTACACGTATTTTAATGAAAAATGCAAATTCAAATTATGAGACTTGGACCCGTCATTTGCTTTAAAAATTAAGGAATTTGCCATCCATCCACCATATTTAAGTACATTAAAAGTTGTAAAATATATTATATATAGTATTTATATAACCCGTAGTATATATACATATATGCCACGTTATCATGGTTTGACTACCGGTTTGATCCCGGTTGAACCTCTAATTTACCATGCAGTCGTCTGATTTAGGGCTGCATGATGGAAGACTAAAAAAATCCCAAAAAACTACTCTTGTACCAAGTAGAAAAGAAAAGGCAATAATCTGATTTGATAATAGAGAGAATGAAGACAGAAAGAGAGAGATCTTAGTGAGAAGAAAAGAAGAGGAGTTCGCATCTCCGCCCCACCGCCTGTCACGCCACAAACACCCCACACAACGTGCGACTGCCACATGTCCAGTCACATGCAGTGGGGCGTTCCCACGTGCGGGGCTAATGGGACGGTTGTTAGCTCGTCCCGTTAGCCCCAAAACGAGCCCAATTTTCCTTTCTCTCATACAACGTTTTAAAAAATGACCCGGAAATGGAACCATTTTGGCCACCGGTTTTTGGGTTGATGGTTCGACTGTCCAGTTCGAACAGTCGGCCTGTTCTGACAAATAAATTAAAAAAATAAAAAAATAATTAAAAATAAAAAAATCAAAACCGTTGAACGGGTCGACGATTCGACCGCCCGAGTCAACGGGTTGACTTTTTCAACGGTTTTTTGCCAAATACCGGGTTTAGGGTCAAACAGAACCGACTGCCTGGACGGTTCCCGAGCCAAACAGTTTGACCGTCTGGGTCAATGACGGTTTGAAAACCTTGCCTCAAATCGTGTTTGACCCCCGTTTTACTCTCCTCCGCCCGAGCTCGGATCCAACTCCATCTTCGACACCAACAATTTCTCCGGCTAGTTCACTGTCACCAAGTATGCTTCAACCCTCGTATTTTGTTTTGATATTTGATTTTTTTCATTTCAAATCAGTGAAACCCTCGTTCGATATTTTGTTTTTCATTTCAAACCAGAGAAACTTTTTTCCCCTCTTCCAACTCCCTCTTTGGCACCGGCAATCACTCCGGCCAGTTCACCGTCACCAGTCTCCAACCCTCGTATTTTGTTTTGATATTTAGTTTCTTCATTTCAAATCAGGGGAGAGCCTTGTTTCTCTGATTTAGAGTGTACCTGGTGACGGTGAACTGGCCAGAGCGATTGCCAGTGCTGGAGAGGGAGTTGGAAGAGGGGAAAAAAGTTTCTTTGGTTTGAAATGAAAAGCAAAATATTGAACGAGGGTTTCTCTGTTTTGAAATGAAAAAAATCAAATATCAAAACAAAATACGAGGTTTGGAGCGTACCTGGTGACAGTGAACTGGCTGGAGCAATCGTCGGTGCCGAAGATGGAGTTGGATCCGAGCTTGGGCGGAGGAGAGTAGAACGGGGTTAGACACGATTTGAGGTTGAGGGGACGAGAATATGGGAGCAAGGTTTTCGAACCACCGTTGACTTGGATGGTCGGACCGTTCGGCCTGGGAACTGTCCAGGCAACCGGTTCCGTTTTACCCCAAACCCAGTATTTGGCCTAAAACCGTTGAAAAAGTCAACAATCTGTTGACTCGGGCGGTCGAACCATTGACCCGTTCAACGGTTTTGACTTTTTTTATTTTAAATTATTTTTTAAATTTATTTGTCAAAAACAGGCCGTCCGTTCAAATCGGA